TGTTGGGCCAAATCGGGTCCTGTTGGCTCACAGCGCGCCCCCGTCAGGCTACTCAGAGCCCACACAAACTGATAATTACTATCATACATGGATAGCCTAAACGAAAGCATTTCCGCCGCGTCAGCCACTGTGCCCAATTCCATCGACAGTTGACAGTCGATTCTGACCCGTTTCTGCTTACGTCTCTGATGATGAATCCTCGACGGATATCGAAACGTCAGGCGAATAAAAGTGTTGTCCCGGCGACCGCATCATCCTCTTCTCGATTCTGACAATGTCCACCGCGTGCTTCACAGCGTAGTGGTTCAAGGACGGGGACTGACGCGTGGATTAGTTTAAAGTGATAGTAGACTTGCGCTGCTTCTACCGCACTCTCTATTCCTCTTCCTCAGATGGGAGGCGTGTCCGGAGCCGTCACGCCTGACTCAGATCCCACGGACTGTGAGTGCCATAAAGGTTAAAGGGAACTGGTGCCTGAGCCCGCAATTACGCGTGCTACAAACGCCATTCCCCACACTCAGCATTTTTTAATGGAAGTGAAATCCGAATAGTGCCCACCATGTCGTTATTTAGCAAGTTTAAGGAGGGGGAGGGGGGGAGAGCTTCTAGGTGAGGTCGACACCGGGGACTCCCCCTCCCACGGCAAATCAGCGCATTTTCATCACTATAACGGATCTGACACGCATCGAGACTATCACGGTGAAATAAAGTCGTGGCTTCGAAGACTACAAACTAAGATAACTCTGCCCTGAGAACTGAGAGTCAGGCCACCAAGGCGCCATAATATGGACTGTTCGGCATTCTCACTGATGTGAATTCGGAACTATCCTCGCATTTTTTATAAAGCTTAATGGATAAGGAACTACTAACGATGAAGTTAAGTGATAATAATTAAATAAAAATCATTTTTGGCTTATTTTCGTCACCAGTCAGGCATATACTAATCGCATGCGTGAGATACTGGATACCTGCTCTTGGGTTCCTTCGGTTACCGAGCCAACCGCTAGACAGGTTAAGTCAAGTAGTTGCATTCTGTCGGCTGGGATCAGGAATATTTTACGCAACATAAAAATGGCGCATCTCAGTCTAACTGAAAAAATACTCCGAAAGCTATTTTTAACGTATTTTGGCGGGTGACAACCAAATCCAAACCTCCTCATAATTAATCCGAAGCCTTTAATTGTCACGAATCGTCCGAAGCCTTGTCTTTTATTGCAACTGACTGACAAAATAACTCTTTCCTCCTTTCAGGGCGGAGAATCTGACTCTTTTAGCTCCTGTTTAATTTAACCTCAATGGCGCAGACCCGCTCGATTGGGATCCGAGCCGTCCCCTCCCCATGTTTGATGGGCCTAGCGTCCAGTCTTCCCTACCAGTGCGTCCGAATCTGTCCCCTATCCCATATTTTTGACTCTTTAGAGGCCGGGCTCAGATTTTTGATGTAGAAAAAAATGCGGTGTATGCAGAGCAAGTCCATAATCTCTATAAACCAATTTGTGCGTAAATAACCGCTCCGGTGCCAGCCTTACTGTAGATACGTGGACAGGAATCTATGTTCTTGACGATGGAACTGTCAACTGTTTTTCGTGCGCATTTGTGAACCTTCGTGTTTGATGCTCACAGGCATAGCTTTAGCTTCGTCAACCTGGTTGGCTGGACTCTGTTTTGTGACCATCGAGTTCTGATATCTCGTCATCTTCTGCTAAGCCCTTTTTGTCCTTACTTTATTATTTTCTTTTTCCCCTGTAGAATTATACATAGTTAACAGTCTTTGCCTGCCATTCCTCTTTTTCCTTTAATAGGTATTCGAGGGAGGCTATTGATGTAAGAAATCGGGAATTGGCTAGAAAGGTCAACAAGTATGCCGCAGTCTGGTCAATGAAGCTCTTGCCCACCGGCGAATTGGTTGCTGGATGCAGTGACGGAACCCTAGAAGTAAGCATTTTGATCATTTTTCATTGTTTAGAGGGCCTTTATCGGCATGGTAATGTTAACTTTACCACGTGCCCATCCAGAAGAAATGTATAGTTTTCACTGAAATTTGTTACACCACTCGCCCAATATGTATGGTAGTTAAAAGTCAAAGTATATGCTTTGCCGTTTACTGCTACAGCATAACTGAACTGTCAGGTGGTCTGGTCATCAGTTAGACACACCGCGTTCATTATTTTCTGATTTGGAACCTTTCGTTTACTAACGGGAGTCATATCTGGAACCACATTAGGACGCTCTGGTATCTTGTCATGTTACGACAAATGCATCTGCGAAGAGCGCTCGTGGACGTTTGACTTGTGTCTGTTTGGGGTGCATAATGAGATAAGGACCTGTGTAAAATCAACTCACGGTTATGCAATTTAGTAATGGCGTAGACCGCTTATTTTGCGACCCATAATCACGTCCGATTCCACCACGTGTGGTGAAAATTCGGCAGGTCGCGGCCCGCACGCCGGTCATCAAGCCATTAGCGCACAAGCGGGCAATAATCTCCGATAGGGGAGTCGTTAATTGTCAGAAGTGTACAGTATCACAGTGACTGTATCCTATAAATATTGCAACTCCCTGTGCACGAATTACCCGTTTCTGCTACTGTTTCTGCCAATTTCCCTGATGAAACGTCAGGTGAATGAAATTCTGGTTCCAGCAATCAAATATTTTTCCTTATTTTATTGTCGATAAACGGTATTTCAATAGTTTTTTTTATAACAACAGCTCACTGTTATTTTTTATTGGAAAGTGAAGCTTGCATTCCCCCCCCCATCACTACATTAAATGTGCCATCTTACAAATTTTGACCGAAATTCCGAACTGAGTTTTTGATTAAAAACAGTAACTTATGTAGGATTGCAGTAATAGTTATCGTGTAGTCTAATCCCAAGACTTCTTAGTATTTTGCGGATGCCGGCCTTTAAAGAGTTTATTTCTGGTAAAATCTATAGTCTACAAAAGATGAATACTTAGGTAGGACGGGTTTTGCCATTTTATTTCGATTCCCTTATGAATTAAAAAAAATACTTCATGGGAAAAACATGCACGAAAATAATATTTCTCCTAATTTGTTAGCAAATTAAATCTTATTTAGATCTTATACTCGAAAGCGGGTATTCTTCGGTTTTGAGAAACTGTTTAGATTACCAATTTTGTTTTGAACTGGATGTGCCGCTACACTTGCATGCAGGTTTCCAAGTGTACAGGCCGTGTAGATTTCGTCTAAGGATAATAACACATCTCTAGGCTATGAGGAAAAGGTCACCTGGTGTGCATAACATTCTGACTTGATGTGAATCGTTTGTTATACTTTATAAGCAACCTTAATAAATAGGCGAGTGCCATGTAATATGAATATAAATTCCGCCGTCCTAAAAAATCTCATAATTAGAAGCTTCTTTAGAATCCAAGGTTACCCTTTCTTCGCTTATGAGCTTTAAATAAGACATAGTTCGATACTAGCTATGTACAAGAAAGAGTATTTTATGGCATCGTTTCTATAAAATAAATTTGGACTTATGAGATCAGTGAGAATAAATGGGGGAATATCCATATTAGTTAGGCAGGCATTTTTTACAGAGCGGAGTCTAATGCAGGCGGACTAAATGAAGTTCGTTCAAAGAACGGCATCCTGACGTGACTGAAATATATTGAAATTATGCTGCACGATTAACCCTACTTAAATAATTTTTTCGAATCAAAAACACATTTTGAAAATGCGGCCGGAATTAAATGAAGTGGCGGATCTCCTGCTCAGCATGGAACATCTTTATCCTCTTCCACCTCAAATTTAAAACATTTCGGCTTGATATCTAATAGCGCATAAAGCTTATATAATTTTTTTCGCTTACCGTTTTTCAATTAGACAACTTTATTATAAGAAAAAAGAATAGATTGCCTACTGTCGCCGACTCTACTTTTTACCAGTTAATTTAAAACTTCAACCACTTATTGGTTCAAATCTCGTTGTGCGAACCCTCGAGATTGGGTATGACTGGCTGATGACAAAGCCAGAAATGGCCATTTCAGTCTCCCTTTGCTTTGTCGGATCCACTTCACCATATCACCTGGTCACCATGTGACGGTCTGGAGGGTTTGCGTTGCGAGCTCCTGGACAAAGCGGAACTTAATTGTTCCTCTACTAGATCGGTGAAAGCACATTCATTCATTGCTTAATGTGTTTTGTGTGATCTCCTGATAATGGACTGACTGAATGTCGAAATATTCCTTCTTTTGATCGCACCAACGAAGTAGATAAAACCTGAACTTATTTTGCAGGTGTGGGACCCAAGGCGAAAGCATCTCCGTCAAGTTCTCGATTTGCGCTCTTGTACGGCCGTCGTGCAGGCGAGGACGCCTCAGCCTGATCCACTGAGCAGTGGGCGACGTGAAGCACATCTCGGTGGTATTACCTCGATAGAGATGACCAAGGAAAACTGGTATGTCACTCTCTATGCAGAAAAAATATTTGTTAAGAAAGGAATGTGTTCAGAGAGCAGCGCGTAGCGTCATCACTACAGGCTGGGTTGTGGAACACAAATAGGCAAAGAAACTCTATAACCTTTAGAAAACATCTTACAATACCTGGATAAGACAGGGCCAGCCAGACAATAATGTTTCCTTCTTTTTGATGTATGAACGTTTATTCGACTCAAAGCTTGGTCATAGTATGACATTGCACCAGGCTTCTATCAAGTAAATCAAAGGAAAACAAAACTGTTCTTAACACGTTAGTTTCCATCTCCAATATACCACTTACATTTTCTTTTTAATGCCGAGCAGATAGTTAGAAATATGCCCACGTCCCCAAACACCCTATGCAATTGGTCCCTTTTCTCCTAATTACCCGAGTTCGTATTTTATTTAGTTCACGTTTCATCTCCCCAGTTAATAATCCTCGATGGAGTTTTGGTTTTCAGTAGTATTGGTTGTTTTTTTATACTGAAAGCGTTTGATTCATCGTCGCAATCTTGCTGAAGGTTGACCAGAAGTCTGTCAATGTGCTTCGCCGAATTACAAATATTGCCATGGATCCGATTTCAATCTCCGTCTGCCGTGGATCTTGCCTTCTGTCGAGCGTGATAATTTCTGCCCAGCGCACCTCTGTCCCTATTAAGCTTGAGAGGAAGACGACTCGATCGCTGGGTCAATACTTTTGTTCGCCTGAGGTTTCGAGATCCGTCGCGGATTCGTCATCAGAGACATAATTTGAAAGCAGTAGCAGATGAGGATAGCGTATGCGCAGGAGTTCTTTTCAATTACTTCCTGGGGCTCGCATGTTCGCTTGTATTGGCAAACTATTAAGCTTGTTAGTATTTGGGTTTTAAGCCACCATTGTTGGAAAATAATAAGTCATTAATTTCTTCAAACGAGGGATATATCCTAACGTTGCGAATTTGTATAACTCCTTCTTAGGTCCATTGTTTCTTCTCCTCCCGCTGATAGTTTCTTTGTCGGCTCGAGTGCGGGGTACGTGGGTATGGTGAGGTTTTGCTGCGGCCGTGCGGAATCAGATGTCGCCTGTCTACAGCCGGTATTTGACCTGGCAGACATTAGCTCGCCTGCCTCTCCTGTCTGCTCCCCAACCACGGCCTCTGGCGCACCAAGGACGAATCCCTGTTGCCCCAGG